GGATATGTGCCCAACATTTTTTTTTTTTGCTGGAGGCAATCATTTTCTGGAGTCTTCGATGGTTGCCTAGCAACTGTTCAGAAAAAATACATAGCCCAGCTTATAACCCCTCGTAAAGCAGTTAATTAACATTTTAGTTTGTTTTTTAATGGTGAGATACGACACATTTATTGATGAGTTTAAGAGGCCCTGGTAGGCAAATGTTGTATGTGATAAAAAGAGCTAAATAAATAAATAGCTGTCTTTCCCTGGTATTTTTTATTTATTTTAATATTAATTTGTAGCTTTGCGTCCTTAGCTTTAGTCGGTGTCATTGTAACATCATTGCAGTGCTTTTACGGTAATGATACTTGTACTTTGAGGTCCATGACTTAAACACATGGTGAGTTTTTTTGTACTTGCTCCACTTAAACTGTATTATATTATAGTATGCCAAGGTAAGGTAGGTTTCACCATGGGCGTAATTTCCACTGGGGACAGGGGGGACATGTCCCCCCCACTTTTAAATTTTTTTTTAAATTTTTTTTTTTTTTTACGCAAGCGGTCATCGTCACGGAGGAGGGTCTGTGTGTGTGTGTGGCACGAGCGCATCTTGTGAGAGAGAGATAGAAAGAGAGAGAGACAGAGAGAGAGAGACATAGAGAGTTACGGGGGTTGTTGTTAGCATTTGGTGCTAGCTCGGAGCTAACGGAGATTAGAAGCTGTTTCAACAATAAGGAGAGGGAGAGTCCTCTCCTGTCGGACTGAGAGAGATAACGTCAGCTCAGGGAGGTAAAGGACTCTGAGTGATTAGGTTGTAAACTTTAGTCTAGTTATCTCAGTGGGTCTCAAACGGTTTGGTCATCTATGTAAACAAATATTTCCATCTATGTAATATATAGTTGTATATAAAATAAGTTAAGAAATCCTTCCAATGTGTACTATAGGTCAGTACAAAAATAAAAAACACAGTTTGAAAGGGAAGTGATTAGTCAAATATGCATAAATAAAAAGAAAAAATGCAGACTAGGTAAGATAAAGATAGGAGAGAGGAGTTTATCAATGATTTGTTATTGGTTGTGAGCATATTCTAATGGCTTTTTGATTATTGAAATATATACAGTTCTGTTTCATATGAGTGTTGAGAACTGTATCCATAAATCTCTTAATGTTGCCCTCAAAGTGCACCAGATTGATGCATTCAACTTCAATTTAAAGAAACAAATCTTCCCGGGGTGCATGCCCCCGGACCCCCCTAGAGGATGTCAGGTAATCACAAATAAAACAGGTTCACATGGATAGGATACTAGATAAGTGTGCACACTCATTATATACACTACACATTTTTCTTGGATTTGTTAACACTATAGTCCCTAATATATTTGTAGAAAGGCAGGAAATGGAATTAAATTGAGAAAATATTTCATTGCGGAGGACCCCCTGTTTTGTGTCCCCCCCACTTCTCAAACCAAAGGTACACCCTTGGGTTTCACTATGCTGCTTTCTAAGGAACTACACTGGCCTTCACTAAATTATTTCACGGTATCATTTCAGCTCAAAGAGGAACATTGTAATTGTTGATTTTTTTCTCTTTTTCGGTGTGAAATGCAAAGAAAAGGCAGGAAATTATCTGAGTCAGTGTGACCAAAGGTTGAATTCTGTAATGTTGTATGCACATGTTATGCATATTTGCTCTGAGTTTCTGCATCACACTCTTGTTAAACAGCTATAGTGCTGTCAAGTGAGGTGAAGGTGAAGCTACCTCAAGTCCCATTCACTGTCATAGTCCTCTGTTAAGACTGATTCCTGATAGACTTTTAACATGGCAATTGATGATATTATGTAAACTGTTCTGACCCAACACCACTCACACAAACGTATGCACATTCATATGAATAAGCCAAGTGTGTCATCAACAATTGTAAATCAATCTTAAAATTGCCAAATAATAAGTTTCACCATTAAGAACCAACACTTAAAAGTTGACAAACCATTTTATTTCTGCAGTCACTCGGTAACCAAATGTTGTCCTTAGTTAGTGTGGTTTTTAAAATACATTTAGGTTGCTAATGTGCAATATATATATATATATATATATATATATATATATATATATATATATATATATTCCGTGAATAACCGTGCAATAGGGCTACTACATCTTCAGAACTGTTACAGGCTGTGTATTTTTGTATTTTGTAAATTGTGTAATTGTTTTTTTTTTATTTAATCTTTTTTTTTTATCTTTAATATTTGTTTCGGTTTTTTTGCATACTTCTTGTTAAACATTAAGCTGTCTTTGGCTCTTTTTCTGCTGGAACAAATGTACATTTCCCCTCGGTGGGACGAATAAAGGTATTCTGATTCTGATTCTAACTGGAAACCCACTTTTAGCCCTCAATATCAATTGTCCATCCTTTGGCCCCTCAGCAACAGTGCTTGCATTGTCTCAGCACTGTTACCTAGCAACGAGACTCACTATACGATCGTGTTTAGGATGGGGTTTATTTAATGAGGGACAACAGATGGCAGAATCATATTTTGTTTATGCATTAACTGTGTCTGAAGTCCCTCTATCACTCATTCACTGTTCTCTAGATAATACAACATGTTTCATACTAAACAGTGAGCAGTACATTGAGATTAAGGACACTGGCAAAAAGAAAATAACCTGTAATTGATTTTGTTTCCATTTTTGTATTTTCTAAAAGTTCACGCAAACTTAAACATATGTTTGCGGTTACTAAAATAAAAATGCAAATAGTCAATATTTTTAAAACTGTTGTCTTGCTTCATACTTAAAGATACTCAAGTACAATAGTTTTTGGAAGACATGAAACAAAATCTTGGATTACTGTCTGGGGAAGTATTTGCTGTTCTTCACAGATATTCCCATTTGTCTATAGTTTGACTGATTTCTATTGATCTTGTATTCTCTTTATTACTTTGTGTTATGTTCTGCTGCAGCAAACATTATTATGCAGTAAAGCACCTCTACAGTAGCTTTGAGCTGAAAAACTGAGGGCTCCTCATCCTAACCTTAGAAAACCTCTCGGTCCCTGCCAGGGAGAGATAGGATCAGTAGACAACCCCAACATTTTCAATTTTGTGCTATCAGACACTGAGGAGATGTGTCAACAGTGGGGTCCTACAGCAAGTAAACACAGGAGTCTGACAAGCAATAACCTAGATTCAACATCGCCTCCGGTCCTCCCACTGAAGGTCCGCTTTCATCTCATTTAGATCGAGATCTGTGGATCAGAGATGACGCCTATCCCCCCGAAACACAAAAAACTCCAGTGATGAGAATGTTCTCATGGGCAGTCCCTCGTAACTTTGAGCATTTTGCCGGTTTGCGGCTCGGTCAACACTCGCTGGGGTGGTACCATCTGTAAATCAGAGATGTTTTTTTCCTTGCACCATATAGCTTCCAGTTATATGAGTAATGATTGTTTTAATGAGGCACCATCTTGTGTTTGACAGTTAGCTATTATCTCTTAATATATCATCAGTGCTCATACAGTCAATGTATTCAGAGTCTTTATGGGCTTTATGTTGAGTAGCAGTGGTAAGGTAGGGGGTCCAGGCCACAAATCAGTATTTTTAGTATAGTTAAAATGTTAATGTATTCACTCAGCCACATCCTCTGTATTGTTGCCCATTATAGAGTGAAGAGGAGGGTGGCTGCAGCTAAACTGGACAGAGCTCAATGACTAAAGAATACTGTGACATCAAAAAGTGTTGGCAGGTCGAAAGAGGAACTCGTGAATTTGTTGAATCAACTTTTCTTTTGTTAGTTTTTTTTAGCATCAGGAGGGATCAGAGGGTTGAATAGTTTGAAGCCCCAGACGACTGAGAAGCCATTACTGTATGGCACAGTCCACTGCAGAAAAGCTCCCTCTGAGATTCAAATCTTGCAGATTAAAATAGTGTCTCATAAGCCTGTGTATATGTGTGTGTGCAACTGTGCATGCGTGTGTGTGTGTGTGTCAGGATTTGTTCTCAGTTGGTTGTGTTCAAAATGCCTTTGTGGGTGACTGCATGTGTTTTCAGCGGCCTAAATACCAAAGCTTTTAACATCAAAGCACCGTTAAGATTTAAGTGCACAGAACTTTGCCAATTATGACTGTAAGTGATGTCCAGCAAAGACTGTTGATGAGCTGCACTCACTCAAAAAATACAAAGCTTCCAAACCACCTTAACTGTATTCTAGTTCCAGACCAATGAATCACTGCCCACGTCTCATTTTTCTTTCACTCATTTAAAAGGGTCTGCTTTTTGTTCTTGTGAATAGCTGTTTGGGAAATGACTGAGCCAAACGAAGGCTTTGTGGGCGGGACCAACTGTCTGCCAAGCTCCGTCAGGAAATATTATACATAGTTACAGTCGACGGCTTAATCTCTGTTTACGGTTTACTCTGAAATAATACAAATAATAATGCCCACGATGATATCACTGTTTTAAATGAAGGTTACGTTTATCATGCTCTGTTAGCAGACACAGACAGCTGAACGCAGCCCTTCATTACTGTCTAACAAATAAATCTCAAGTTGAGAAAACTTTGGTAGTATGAGAAAAAATGTACTCAGTGTGGAATAAAGACAGTGATGTTAGTTCAATGCTCATTTAGCTATAGCTTACCAGGCATGGTACTATCTTTCTGATGAAAAGGCAACAATTATTGCAATTACAATCTTTTTTATTATCCTTGTCATTACAGTATGAGTGGAAGCTCCTAAAAAATATAATTATTGGTTTGACCAGGGAAAATACAATCCTCCTCGCTTTAAAGAAGGTTAACATAATGTCAATGTCCAACTGAACCATAGAGACTGAGTATAAGGTACCTGGTATGATGTTGCCAAAAGTGAGAGATTATTTAAGCATCCCCTTGCTGAAACCTTGAAAAATGTTAAAATGTCAACCTTTACTCTCTAATGTAATATACAATATGTATAAACTATGTTAGTGAGGTTTCATATTTGAAATAATAATCTTGTTTTTTTCTTCCTTTTGTCTAGTTCCACCCAAGATATACGACATTTCCTCTGACATCACGGTAAACGAGGGCATCAATGTGTCGCTCATCTGCACAGCCAGTGGGAAACCTGAGCCAAGCATTTCCTGGAGACACATAACCCCATCAGGTGAGTTCACTTCACCTCTCACACACCTATGCTAATGAATGGGCAAGCGGATGAATAGATGGACAGACGTATGGGAGGATGAATTGCTAGAGGAAATGAGGAGGCATGGACAGGATCAATAGGTGATAGACAGAGGACGAGAGAGGACTGGTAGTTATGTAGCTGATGAAGGGGGGAAGGGATGAAGAAAGACATTGGTGTGGTGGATCCATGACAGAACAGGGGAGGTGGAATGGGTAGATGTAATAAATATTTAAATAAACATACAATATCAGTGAGACCTGACTATTGAGCTTCTTCAATAACAAAGCCATCTAGTGCAGTGTAACTAATGCTAGAGGCAAAAGCCAATTAGTGGTTTTCTGTAAATCAGTTGAATCAAATGGTTCCTCCTACTAACCAACGTTTAAGAGATACAACGATTAGATAAGGGAATAACTTGTTCAAATGTCTTCAAATTGCATGTATGCCCTCTCAACCTCAGCCTAACTTTGGGGATAGCTAGATATAGATTTACAATACAATTACACTAACAAGGAGGGCACTCGGAGAGCATAAACCTAGGCCAATGGTGCATTCACATGCTTCTAGGATGCTCCCATGGCTTGAGTTGGGAAGTCGTTCATCCATCTTCTGTGTTTTCAGGAGCTCTAAGTCATAATGTTGAAACAACATGGATTCCGCTAAGATGTGTTGTATTAGTTTTTAAGTTGTTGTTCAGACCTGAGGGGATTCTTTTTTCCAAATATTCTGACTCAAGATGAATAAAGCACAAAAAGTGCCTGGCATAATAAAACATTTTCTTTTAGATGACCATATCACATGAAACTTGCCACTTCAGCAGTATATGTGCGTATTGATTTATTAAAATCATATTAACATATCCTTCGAGCTAGCTGATGATCTTAGTTTCTGCCTGCCAGAGTTGACGTTTGTTACTGTAACTGCTGGACCTCTATAGGGTTTTACTTTAAGTAATGCAATCGGTTGAAGAAAATACATGTTCTTTTTAAAATAATTAATCTATGCTGAATTTGTTAATATGCTGTAGAGCAGTTAGAGCATTAAAAAAATGTACATTTCTCATCAAATGTTCCTACTTCTAACTTCTATGTTCATTCCAATATGAAATGCCACTCTTTAAACCGCTAAGAAACAACAACAGATAACCCAAGCCATTCATTTTGTTGCTCGTTTAAGCCAGTGTGTAACCATAGCACATCCTGCTCATGTGTATTAAGGATTTCAAGTATAAAAAACGCAGCTCTCTTCACTGCAGGGGGACCAGTGATTTGCTTTAGCAATTTGTACACCATCATTTAAGGTGAATTAACAAAGATTTTATTTTAATTATCATAATAATGTATTTAGTTGGCTGCTAGTCAGAGCACACCATTAAGTGCTTTGACTACTGAATCCTGCCTTTGATAAACTCATTCCAAAGCGTTTAACTGTTGCTGCAAAGCCCCCACCTAGCCAATGCTAGTCCTCCCTCATTTTCATATTAATGGATTAGAGCATGCTGTGCTTATCTGATAGCTGTGAGGATGACTGCATTTATCTTATGGCTGTCAAATCCTCCTCTCTGGTGTGCTTGCCCTGATTGCGTTAGGGTAGTTTTCAGAAGATGATCAAAAGAGCCATCCTCAGAGTCCGAGTGGCAGTCACTCATTCTACTTTGAAGTGTCCACACTTTGAAGTATGCCGGGAAAGAAATGATATGCTGGTCAAATAGAAGGGCCCGGGACTAAATGTAATCACAGACTGTCTCACTTCACATCAGAAAGGAAGCCATTCGCCATGGGATCTTTGAGTCGGGTTTTGTAGTGAGGGCCATTTGTCTAAAGGACGTTGTACAACTGAAAGGTTGTAATAGGCTAATTACCTATCGCTGGAAATCCATTAAATCTCTTGCATATGAAGAACAGTCTGCTCCAGCCACTGCACAGGCAACCTGAATGTGCAGCCACATTTATAGAAATATGTATCTTAGTTATTAATTACCCATCAGAAAGCAGCAGATCTGCAGCCAAACTACTTGAATACCATTTACACATAATAAATAAATAATAGTCCCCCATTTACTGAAGTTATATAATCAAGCAATTTATTTTTGTTTTTAAATGGGACAACATTTCTTTATTACAATTTAACTCGTACAATTATATTTTAAAGATTAAATAGTATTGTCATTCACCATATTAGAAATGTGGATGGTGTTTGTGACAAAAATAAAGCTTGGATACTGTTCCAATTATTATTTTTTATAAAATACAGGTTTATGGGGACAAACTTAGTTTATTAACTCAAACAATTGTATTATGTGCAAGTGTATTGGATTAAGTTAATCTATAGAAGTATCTAATTGTTAAAAAAGAAGGAAGGGGATAACAAATTTCAACTTATATATTTGTCCCTTCAAACATTTTATGTATTAATGTAACGAACCATACGTTTTTAATCATGAATTGCTTTAACATCTGATCATATTGTTACACCCCATCATAAAACCTGTGCTGTTTGTATCTGGTGGAAGAAATAGCTTTCAGTGACGTGAGGCCAAGCAGGTGAAATGGCTATAAAGTGACAAACGTGTCTACATGGCAGGTTTTATTTGTGGACCTTACTCTCTTCAACACTCAGCCATTTTGAGGTGAGGTTCGTGATTTTTTTGCACTGTGGATGGTTCTGCTGCAGCAGTCAGTGAAGTTTGACAGGATGATAAATTGCCCTGACTGACTGTCAAGTTCCTATTCCCACTCCGACTGTTTTGTGTTTGCATTTTTCACTTCCTGCCAACCAGCAAACTGCCAGCTAATAATACACTTTCTGCATCCAGTGAAGTGTGGCCACAAACTGTTTATTGATACGATCATTTGGCTCAGTAAGTGTGCATATAAAGTCTTTCTTTATATTCTTTATTCAGAGAAAAGCTAACTTTAGTGACTTTACTTGTGACATAAAGATCATCTTAGTTGACATGCTGCTGGGAGAAAAAACAGAGCAGCATATGAGTGGAGCTTAATGTGCTTAAATCATCATTGGTGTTTTGTGTAGCAGTTTAATTACCCGTGTAAAAAATGTGCTTGGCAGTCAAGTCCTCGGGAGTTTGGGATGATTGCTACATGATAAGGGCGCTCATGACTGGAAAGCCCGCCCGAGTCCCTTTATCAGCTGGTGAAATCTGGATGTGCAAAGTGACTGTTTCATGCTCGCCCTAACCTTATTAACCGCTGTTGATGTGCCCTTGAGCAAGGATTGTACCCCCGACTGTTACAGTGCTGCATTCAATCACCAGCTGAAAATAATTAATGGAAAGCTGCCAAGTTTATGAGTATCAATGAGCACATTTTAGACCCTTCATCTCCTCCTCTAGGATTCTGATCTTCTCCAACAACTTTTATGGTAAACTAAAAGCTTAATTTAAAGGAGAAATACTCTTAGTCATACAGTGGTAATACTGCTAGAAGCCACTCTCCACATCTCTACTTACATTACTCCTATACTGTAGCTCTCAATATCTGGGTGACATGTCAGGCTTTCAGGGTATTGCTTACGCATGGAGTCCTGTGCTTCCTCGACACTCTTCCATAGGTCATAGGGAGGGGGGTGAAGTAGCCTTTAACATAGTCTGTTTCTGTCCGGTTTGGTTGGGTGGATAACACAGCACGGCCAAATTGCTTTGATAAGCTCTTTCAATTGAGATTTGAATCCATGGGATAGAAGTGTGACCTTTGAAAAGGCTGACTAGAATACATATTTGATAGTTTCCTGTGATAGGACTCAGCTGGGACACGTTTTTCTCTTCTTTGTCTTTAAGTAGCTGCTGTACATATATCAAATAACACCGTTTTTGTTTGCCTTTGCATTTTAGATTGCAAGGCACATCTTCCCCAAACTTCCCTCCAAGAAACAGACAGTATCATCCTTTACATCAGGGGTGTCCAAACTACGGCCCGGGGGCCAAATGCCCATTTTGAAACGGCCCTCAGCTAATTCAAATGGTATAATGAAATATGTCCCACAAATTAAACTTGTGCTTGTCATATATTGTACTAATTAAATATATATGTACAAATATATATCACAGTATTCATGTGTTCCCAACTTCCCACTCTTCAAATAAATTCAATCAATTAAAGTAACTAATCTTAGTTGATATAAAAAGCCCAATCACTTATTTGCATAACAAATCTTTTTATAAGCAATCTGAAGCTTCTGTTTTAAGGCATGACTGCAAACTAAATAAATGAAACCTTATAGAGAGCTGTGACGTAGGCTTTTGTGTTTCTTACAGCATTTTCAAGAATCAAGCTTAATTTACCTACATTTGATTGATTTTGCTAACTTATAACTTAGCATATGAGGCAATATACCTCACCTCTAGTGAGGGGCCCAGCCCTTCATATATCTTTCTGTATGTGGCCCTCTGAAAAAAAAGGTTTGGACACCCCTGCTCTACATTGAAGAGTCACTACAGTATAGCTGCTGCAGCTTACTCAAAGCTGGATCAGACAGAACTTGGTTGGTCCTGAACTTAGTAGCATCAGCTAGTGAAGAGTACAGTACATCAGTCGGTTTCAATTTGAACGACGCAATGAATTATTCAAACTTGGCTTTATATCCCTGCTGCATACCTTGAGTTGTGCCTGCCATGTCACATTGAAATTGACAGCTCTTTAAGAGATGCTAAACAGTTTTCTGGCGGTCTGTTCACCAGGGATCTCTCATTCAGCATTGGGTTCCTTTCCTCATAGTTTGCTATGAACTGATGCGCAGTTCAATGGCTGACACTTGAGCACGCTTTAAACATGATGGGAGGTGAAAGATAAAGAGTTAGACGCTGCATTTTAAATTTCCGATATCAACAGCGGGAGCCATGTCTAACACTTCCCCATTCAGATGTTGAGCTAAGTATTGCGAACTAAAGAGGTGCTCAATGGGCACATGCTTTATTGAAGTGTTAGTGACATGATGAATAGTAGACCCTTCTTTTAAAA